CAGAAGGACATACCGACAAAGACACAGGAGAGTGGAATGGGCCTTTTTGTTCTATCAGGCGTCATCACCTATCAGCCACACCCAGCCTCCTGCGACGCACCACTCGAGGCTCAAGCCTGTGATCGCTAATTGACGTTTACGGATACGTCAGGAGCATACTCTCAGAAAAAGGCCCAACGTCTGCTGAAGGAGTGCTGAAGGAGTGCCGAAGGAGTGCAGGAACACCAAGAGTGCAAATTTTATCTCATAAAAACTGTTCAAAAATGCAAAAGCGTGTAAGCTTATTTTAAAACAAACGTACGCAGCAGGATTTATTGAATTCAATAAATTTCGTGACAGCTTCTCAACTGCCCCCTGTCTCTGCATGGCCTTGATAACGAATAGAATATACAAGAGTTTGCAATTTCACAGAATGACATGGCATAACAGCAAGGGTCATAGTTCAGTGTGAATAATGATCAGATAAAGGACACTGTATTCAATGAGCGTAAGGGAAGTTAACGAAAATCACGTGGGGATTAAAACTAAGTGCCCAATTACCAGGGTAATTGGAAGTTATTCACATAGTGAAGCTGCTTGCATGGGTCGGGTTCCTCCCGCCTTATGTAGGAAACCAAGACAATAGAAGACTCTGTTTGGTAAGTGATTAAACAATTGCTAGACAGAAACCTAAGTGATACTTCAACTGTGCTATAGCTAAAGCCCAGAGGTACGCATATCCCTAGACTATGGAATTCCCAAAACACACAAGAAGGAGATACCTTTGCAACCAATTCCCTCCATGTCTAATTCACCTCATTATAGATAAGCCAATGGCTTGGGAAAGAACTAAAGCCTATTCGAGAACTGCTCGCCACTTAGACTACGACGGATACTCTTCAATATATTGAGGAAGTTAAGCGCCAAAACATCGCTGCTAAATTTATGATTTCCTTAGAGGTTTAATCATTATTTAAAAATGTACCGGTGGATGAAACAATATAGATTATGTGTGCCCGTGTGTCTGAAACCCGTCTGTCGCTTGAAATACTGCGTCAATTACTGTTACTCTGCGCCAGAGTGTTCAACTTTTATTTAATGGACAATTCTACACACCAAAAGACGGAGTCGCAATGCACAGCCCACTACTGGCCCACATGCGAGGATGTCTTTATGGGTAATCTAGGAGAAAAGGCGTCAGTTAGATTTAAAACGACAAAATTATGTAGAAGATATGTGGACAACATATTTAAAATTGTTGATTCTTAGGAAGACGCCGGTGAACTCCTCGATTTAATGCTTACCATAAATCCGAAAATTAAATTCACCATGGAAAAAGAACAATTTAACAAGCTGTCCTTCCTAGACGTCCTCATGTTTAGAGAGGACGATGGTTGAATAGGGCACACCAGTCATTCTGTCAACGTCAAAACTGCTTTTCGAGTACTTTTTCGGGCAAGAACAAATCGAACTCTGTACGATTTGGAAGTGGCCTACGTACGGTGGGCGAAACCCGATCTATGCAAGCAGTTTCATCATGTGGTTAACCTCAAATTACTCTGGTAATTGGACACTTAGTTTTAATCCCCATGTGAATTTCGTTAACTCCCCTAACCGTTTTTCATTCCTATACGCTTATTTAATGCAGTGTCCTTTATCTGGCCGGACCGTGCCAGGGAGGTCGCAGGCAAAGTAAGCCGCTGCACCAAGGTCCTCAAGGCTCTAGCGTGCACATCCTGGAGCTGCGCGGAAGAGACTTTGACGACCATATTCAGAGCGCTGGCAAAGCCGCACCTAAATTATGCCGCACCAATCTCGTCTCCTACGGTCAGCTCTTCCAGCTTCCGCCACCTCAAGTCAGCACAGAACGATACCCTCTGCGCGGTCACGGGCTGCTATGAAATGTTGCCTATCGATCATCCTCATGCAGAGGCTTCTGTCCTGCCGGTCGACCCTTATAACACACTCTTAGGCTAGCAGTTCTGGTGGACCTGTTTGCAACTTGGCCATCCTAATCACCACCGTTGCCACGCTCCTGAACCTAGCTGCAACGTTCGGCCGTATGTTCGAGCTCTCCACAAGGAGGTTGTCGCCGTATCTCTCTCGGATCTACCCGTTGATAGCTCTGTCACCAAGACGGCCTTCCAGCGTCTTCAGCAGAGAGCCGAAAAACGAGGTTATCATCCCCCGGCCTTTTTAGGCGGCAATCCATCTCCGATTGAAGCCTCAGAACAACAACTCCCGAAGGTCACTCGCTGTACTCTGGCTCAACTACGCAGTGGCTACTCAATGATCCTTCGCCAGTACCAAACCGGCTC